GACAACCTTATAATTCAAAAAAAAAAAAAAAAGTTATCATACTCACATTCAAAAAGCATAAAGCGAGCAAAAAAGATTGACAATAAACGATAGATAAAATTTAGTTTTATCAAAACCATTTCTATTTATAAAATTGATAAGCGTCTCAACTAAATGTTGGAATTTACCCACATCAGGCATTTTTTGCTACAGCTCATCGTAGAATAATTTTGAAAATGAAAATGAGTATATGCTCTGTGAGCTGATATTCAATCTTGTATATGTATCTGTCTTCTGTGCTCAAGATGTGTAATTTCCGCTTCATTTCTACTGTTAAGCAGCCAAGTTGTCGGTTATAGAGTAATTTTTATCAGCATTTGGTTGAAGAACCAAATCTTTATAATCTATACAGGCAACAAAGCTCTTGCATTTTGTTAACTCTAGGTTTGAAATAGAATGATATTTACTCTACATCTAAAACTACTGTGTTCCACTTTGCATATTTCGCATAATTTGAATTTGTTTGATCTCCTTCAGTAAAATCTTTGAGCCTCACCACCATTTTACAAACTATACTTTTGTTTTACAATAATTGCACTTGCCTCGCTGCTCTACAGTCTGCAGGAAACTGTAAACGCATAATATCTGCTTCAATTAAATTTGCAATTTGTTTTAACCTTTCACGGCGGTTATCTTCCGCTTTCTCTTCTAAATCTTCTACAGCAGCCAATAATGAATCGGCCTGAAAAAAGGGAATCGATCTATCACTTTTTTGAAGAAACCAGTTGGCTACTTCTCTATCCTTTATCGTTCCGATAATAGTCTGAAAAACGACATTTGCCTCAAAAACTGAAACATAGAGTAAATTCTTGCCGCTTCATCCCTTGCTGTTAGTGTTTTCGTCACCTGCGATTCGAATTGTTCTTTCATAAGGTAGTAAATCTGTCGTATGGCGTAAAACAAATTGCCTTTAGTGTTCTAAAATAACTACATTGACCGTGACACAGTAATGTTATTCTGTCACTGTAAAACCGCGTTTTTTTTGCATTTATGCGAATTCTTCACAGCCTTGGATAGACGTTCATAAGGGAATAAAATTCGGCTTCAGAATAACATACTTGTCTCTCAGCACTGCTGTTAACGTTATGCTCAACCAGCGTCAAATTCTCCTCCTTGCCGAGATGAATACTAGTTGGCTTTTTACGGTATTCAGTATCTACGCTCTCGATTGTATATTATAAAAGAAATATGTTGTCTTGATTTGTAATTTATGTCAAGTATTTAAGAACCTTATGCAGTAAAAGTAAATGCAAACCTGAGGAGGAAACTTGTGGTTTCTTCGATCTACCTGAGGAAAAAATGATCCCAAGAAAGAAAAAAAAAGCCAGTAAGAAACAGTAATACTTCCTTGGCTTGACCCAAACTTGATTCATCACTACATTGAGAGCGGCAGCCAAGTTTGAGGAAATCTAAAAATTCAGACTGCGAATCAGTAATTTTTTTGCTAGACATTATTTACTCCTGGCATTAAAAGACTATTTGGTAGCGTAATGAAAGTCTTTAAGACGCTAACGAACTTCGATCGCTTAAAACGACAGTTAAACGTTCTGAGGCTCATTCTGGAAGTTGCAGTGATTTGCAAATAGTCCTTAACTAAAGCAAACAAAGCCTTTTTTAAGGCCTTTCTTCGGTAACTTTGCGGCAATAATTAATTATTATTATTATTATCTACATCGTTACTGTTTACTTTTGATTCTATAACGTTAAAAGGGAAATATGAAATTAAAAAGGAACTACCTAAGAGATGAAAGAGAAAGGATGATGTTGAGAAATTTGCTATTTCTGGTTGCAGTACTGGGAACTGCAATTCAAAGCGGCGGTAACTATTTTCCTAAAATGCAACCGAGTTACTGAGGGTTCCTGCTCAATTCTGTTAAATTGCTGCGTACCAAATTTGTCAGTCTTCAGCGGCTAGTGAGAGAAACTGTTGCTAAAGGGAAAAATAGTTCAAAAAGTGTGCTAGAGGCTCTTACCAAACCTATTGTACGTAATACGATTCTAGTTTTGGGGTCATTTTTGATCGCTTGTTCTACAACAGTTTTTTTCTTTGCTTTACTGAGACATTACCAGTTATCAGTTGCAGTTATCAGATAAGTTCATATATTTTGTATCGTTGAGGCCACTTTCTGTTTTTCTATTTGTTTACATTTAATACTACGCTTTGTCTGTTGCTTTCTTGAACAGAGCCCCATGCACTTTATTTAACATGACTCTTTGATTTTCATAATGTTTTGTAAGTATTTTAGTCGGTTTATCCATCTAAGTTTGAAATAATTTTTTGTTCAGCTTGTAAACGAATTGCTTCGTTAACATGTTGACATTAGTGTTTTATGGCAAGAATTAAACAAACTGATATGTTTTCTACTCTTTAAAAGGTTGATAAAGAAAAATGTTTGAAAAACACTGCTTCAAACAAGCGAATTTTAAACTTATTGAAGGGCATTTTGAGGCTGTGTCTTATTCAGTGTCTCGAAGCTATCGACTTGGAATATAATATATAACCGTTTAAGGCAGAATAATTACATGTTACATTCTATGTTTAAAGTTTTAACACTTATAATTTCTAGAGCCATTTACTAGTATAAACGGCAGTTTCAACTACGCTAATTATTTAGTTGGCTTTAATGAGAAAGAACTACTATTTATATTCTCTTGTACGAACAAGAGACAGATTTAAGAGCTTACGCAAGATAAGAATCAACACGAAGCTTCTCTTTGGCATTTAAAAATTATGGTCTTTGAAGAACATTAAAATCATCTCACATTATAAATAAAAAACAAAGGTCCCCACCTGGCCCAAAGTCTGACACAGTATCAACAGCCCTTCTCAACAACTCTTGCAAACTCAATTCGCACTTAAGAAATTCACCACTGTACTATTAAAAAACTGCCTCCCAAAACCTCTTACCGAAATATAGCAGATCTGCAAAAAAATCTCTAATTTTCAATTGACCTCCATAGCATTGCGCAATTTTATACTACTTTTTACAATTTAGTGCCTTCTTTACGATTGCCTTTTGTTCATTTTTCTAAGCCGTGGCAACAGGTGTCACTGGTACTCTAAGTTTCTAAACGGTTTCTTTTTTCAAAAAAGATTTACGTATACAAAATCTTTGTTCTTAAATTATCAAACTGTTTTCTTCTTAAGCGAGAAGTTAAAGTTTCACTTAACAAACATTTTTATTCACTTTGCTCTTCATGAAGCGCGTAATAAGTCTTTTCCAAAATAACAAGATTTAGCATTTAAAGAGCAAAAAACAAATATCTATTCTAGAGTTTCTGAGTGAAAGACATTGATGCAGTGTTGGGAAGTTCAACGTATTGATGAGAATTTCTTGTGGCACGAAGAATCTCCTATGTAAAAGAACAAAAAATCCCAAAAAAAATTAAAGTCGTAAGACACTTTCTGAAAGATACGTAATAAAACTTCTCTTGTTGAGTGTAAAAAATTGTCTATTAAAAACTTAACAAAGGCTATTTTTTTTATTTTATGCATTTTTTTTACGGTACAAGAAATTGAAGCTTGATAACAGCAAATAAAAAAAAAGAGAAAAAAAAGAAATGAAAAAGTAGAAACATTCATTAGATAGGTCACTTTGTAATAAGTACATAATAATATAAGACGCTATCAAAAACCCGTATCAAATTTAATGGTTTTCAAAGCCTCAAAACAGGCGGAGCAGTAAGGACTCATGCGAGGGCTATAGAATCTTGTTTAATAAAAGTATGTGTTCCTAGAATAAAATTAGTTTTTAGCAGCAACAACTAGGTTTTAGTTTTAACTACCCGTTGAAAAACTTTTAAACCGTAGTAAGTTTCTTTAGTTAAAAAAACCTTCTAATTGTTTGTTGAAACTAGACATGTTCAAATAAAAATTTTAATGTATTAATATAACTTAAAGGCTAAAAAGGCTTAATTTTTAACTGTGAAACATTTCTTCTACAATCCAGGCGCGTTCCTTCTATACCACTACAAAAGTGATGATAGTCAACAACTTTTTTTTTGACAAAGTGATTCATTAGAATTTCATTTCATTACACAGTTGTGAATTGTTTGATCAATACAATTATTCCACGTTTGATTAGAGATTGCTAAAACTTCAAACAAATTCAAATGACACATTCTCAAATTATTTATTAAGAATCTTTGGGTTAAAGAAGGCATACTTTTTCTTATCTTGTTCTTCGCATACTATCAAGGCATCTCCTAGTATCCTTTACAGTTTAACTGAGCTTTTCAAATGCGAATGATTAAGACACAAGAAGTAAATTATGTACAATAATGCGACAAAAAAGTTGGGTTTTGCCTGCAATGCCTACGACCTCACCAGCACCACCAGCGCCACCATTTTAGCACTAATTTAGCACTAACTCTACTGCACTCTGTGTTTGGTTACTTGGTTACGACCCTGTTTACACGCCTGTCCTGCTTCAACATTGATTTTATGACTCTATTTTAGTGGTGACTCACTAAGTGTGAAAAATGAAGAAAACTGGTCAAACATTTTAAAAGAAAAAAAAAAAAAAAAAAGGAAAAACGAAACAAAGGCAATGAACGTGAAAGCTGTTGCCTCAATTTTAAACAACAACCAAACAATAAAATCTCAGACTGTTAAGAAGGAAAACACGACTGCGTTTTTCAAAACACCAATTAACTTTTCAAATATAATAGACGAAAGATGAATAAAGCATAAAGTAGCAACAACTCTGTGAAAATAAGCATATAAATAAATGTTTGTTCTTGATGTACCGAACACTGATAAAAAATTGTTGTAGCGGCAGAAATTACCACTTATAATCAACAGCATCACAGCACTAAAAAACTTTACCACTTACTTACTTTCGAGTTAAAAAAAAGCCACCAAAAAATTCAAGTAGGAATTTAATATTTATAAATTAAAAGCGAAACAACATTATGCAGGAATCACAGTCGTAACAAAAGCTTTCTCTCAGTGTTATTCGCGTCAAAAACTCCGCAGCCATATATATATATATATGTATATAAATATATATAAATATGGGCCATTCCGTGTCAAATCGCACACATTTTTCCCTTCTTATCTCAGATTTTTTTTGAATTTTGCTGATTAGTAGAGACCAAGCAAGCATGAAAAAAGATTCAAAAAAAACCTAAAAGAATAAATTCCTCGTCAATTTACATCCTCTCAAGA